CTGAGCACCGAAGCTAAGCTCGTGAGTTGGTGCCTACCTGTAGGGAGAGACTTCCCCTCTGTTTTCCTTGGCTGGGGAGTTGGGGAGAAGTGTCCTAGAGCAGCCTCCAGAAAGGCTGTGTGTGGGCTGCCCTGACGCAGGCTGGCTTCCGCTCGCAGGTCTCAGCAGCCGGGGGCCCCCTACCACCTGTCAGCACCCTGACAGCATTGCACAGCCTGGAGCAGACGTCCCCAGGCCTCGGCCAGCAGCCCCAGAACCTCATCATGGCTTCCCTGCCCGGGGTCATGACCATAGGGCCTGGGGAGCCTGCCTCCCTAGGCCCCACGTTCACCAACACCGGTGCCTCCACCCTGGTCATTGGTAAGCAGTGGGGGCATTGGGGAGGGGATGGGCAGCTCTTGCCAAGCCAGGAGCCGGGGGAAGCCACTGGGCTTCAATTACACATTCAGAGCCCCTGTCCTGGGTCTTGCCCCAAGTCATATCCTGAAAAGAGAGCTGAGTGTGCAGGCAACAAGCAGGCACAGGAATCCTGTGAAGGGCTGGGGTTCCAGGCCTCCCACAGGATGGAGAATCACAGATGCCACCTGCCCCCTGCCGTATGCTTTAAACAGGCTCTGATCCAACGGCAGTGCTAAGTAACTGGCTTAAGGCTTCCTGGTTCAGGAATAATGGCAACACAAAAGCTTGCTCATGCTCAGTACAGATACAAGTTATTTCCCCGAATGCATATGGAGCCCAGAATGAGGGGGAGAGTAAAAAAGTTTGCAGGAAAACAGAGCAGGGCATGAACATTTGTGCTTTCTTGGTCTGTTTTTAAACCTAGAAAATGCTGTGTGAATGTATCCTATCGCTCAGTGTTAAACACAGATAGGGAGCTGCCGAGAGACAGGAACAGCCTGAAGTTCTGGGGAACGCAGTTTGACCACCCTGAATGCAGTCAGTCACTGGCCACGCCTCCTAGCCAGCCTGGGGAGGAGCTACAGGCTCAATAAAGGGGTGTGACTGGCCAGTGCCACTGACTGATCAGTGCTGGGCTGTTTTTGGATTGTTCTATCAACCCCTGGGTTCTGGCAGGATGGGGTGGTGCCTGCCAATGGGGCGGCTGGAAGACCCAGCTGACTCCCAGCTCTCTTGTTGCAGGCCTGGCCTCCACACAGGCGCAGAGTGTGCCGGTCATCAACAGCATGGGCAGCAGCCTGACCACCCTGCAGCCAGTACAGTTCTCCCAGCCGCTGCACCCTTCCTACCAGCAGCCACTCATGCCACCAGTGCAGAGCCACGTGGCCCAGAGTCCCTTCATGGCCACCATGGCCCAGCTGCAGAGTCCCCACGGTGAGTGCCTCTTGGCAGGTTTCAGGTGCAGCCACACGGAGTCTCACATGGAATGCCACAGCAGCATGCATATAGTGGTGCTGCCGCCCTGCCCTTCACTTACACACCCCTGCCCACAGCACCTGTGCCATATACAGGGTCTAGAATGCACAGGTGCTTAGTACACAGCTCCTGGGCCAAGTGCAGCAGCTGTGCACCTGTTCCTTCTGTCGTCCCCAGGTGACAGGCGCTAGAGTTGTTTCTTGGCCCCGCTCAGGCTCCAGCCCCAGCTGAGCAGGTCCCAGTAGTGGGGGACAGGGCTCACACCCGTTACTCAGCCGCTGCCCTGGACACCCTCCCACATCCCACCCAGCAGGGCCATCCAGCACGCCCCACGCTCCCCCTCCCCTGAGCGCCTGGTGTTTTGAGAGAGGGCTCCAGGCCGGGCCAGGGTGCCATGTCTGTGTCTTTCTCTCTCCTTATGGCTCTCCTGGGTGGGCAGCCCTCTACAGCCACAAGCCTGAGGTGGCCCAGTACACTCACACGGGGCTACTTCCCCAGACCATGCTCATCACGGATACCACCAACCTGAGCGCCCTGGCCAGCCTCACACCCACCAAGCAGGTAAGGCCCACGCCTGCCCAGCCCCGCCTTGGTCCCGGGTCCCAGTCCCCGCCGTGCCGAGGGCTCACGCCTGGAAGCTGCTCTGTTCCCCTAGGTCTTCACCTCTGACACAGAGGCCTCTAGTGAGTCTGGGTTGCATGCTCCGGCGTCCCCGGCCACCACCATTCACATCCCCAGCCAGGACCCTGCTGGCATTCAGCACCTGCAGCCCACCCACCGGCTCAGCACCAGCCCCACAGGTGAGCAGCCCTGGCCTCACCTGCCTCTTTGCTGTCCCCGGGGGTGGGCAGTGGGTAAGCAGGTGAGCACGAGCAACAGGGTCGGGGGGGAAGTGCGCCCAGCTCCGTGGGTGCAGCCTGTCTCGCAGGAGCTGCTCACTGACCAGAGTGAGGAAAAAGATGAAGCAATGCAGAGGCAGCAGGTGGAGAAAAGGTGGGAAGGCAAGTGGGGCTCATCGTGGCCCACAGGGACTCCTGGTGTCGGCTCTGCCCCCAGCTTGACACTTTCTGCCCGAGTTGCCACTGACATCAGGAGAAACTCCCCCAAAGCACTGGGGTGTGGGCTTCCAGCACACCACAGCCACTCAACCCACTCCTGTCCACACCCTGAGGGATACTAGGGGCCCTAAGCTTGCAAACCGCGAGGTGCAGGTAGAGAACGGGTGCTTTTGTGCTGCCGGGCCTGCAGCGACCGCTGCAGACTGACCTTAGGTCACTTGTCCTCTGGGAACCCTCAGGGTCCCCTAGTCAGCCCTGGTGGCTGTAGTGATAGCCGAGGGAACCCCCTGCCCCAGCTCCATGCTTTACTGGGGGGCAGAGCCAGGACTGAACAAGGGGCCAAGCTGGAAACCCATTCTCTTAACCTCCACCAGTCAGGGTTCTTCAGAAACTTGGCACTCATGGGCTGTGCTGGCAGAGACATCAACCACGGGGCCTGACTCGCATGACTGAGGACCAGCCAGCACGCAGCCGGAGGGCAGGCCGGCAGGGCCTGGGGGGTACGGCAGTAGCGAGCTCAGGCACAATTCCTTCATCCCTAGCAAGCATTGGTGTTTGCTCTTAAGGTCCTCACCTGCTTGGGGAAGGCCGACCCCCACCATCCGGTGTCACCTCCTTCTTGGGGCAGGCACCCAGCCTGGCAACCCCAGTCCCTGTGCTCGCATCCGAATGTTCTAATGGCAGCTTCTGCTTCTGAGCCCAGCTTCCTGCCAAGTCCCCCTTGGGTCCCTGTCACTCCCATGGGAGACCTCCAGTCACTGTGGGCATTTGGAGGGAGTGAACCAGCAGACACGAACTACCAGCTTAAAATAAACAGGAAGGCTAGAGAGGACAGGAGCCAACCGCAAGAGCTTACTGTATCTGCAGAATACTTTATGAGTAACTCAGACCTCCAAGATCTGGGTTGGGTTCAGCCCAGCCGGTGCACAAGGCCACCACCCCACACCACACGCCTTCTTCTGGGGCGGCCCAGCGCCTGGCTTGGGGGGGTCCCCCTTGAAGACTAGAGGGTAGAGGTGTGGCCTTAGGGTTCCTGGTATCTGCTGGCTCTGGGATGTGGCATGTGGCCCTGTCTGCCACCCTGCAGGCAGGCAGGGAGAACCGAGTGGGCCTGGTGGAGCCCACACAGTGTCCTCTCCCTCTGCAGTGTCCTCCAGCAGCCTGGTGCTGTATCAGAGTTCTGACTCCACCAACGGCCACAGCCACCTGCTGCCCTCCAACCATGGCGTCATCGAGACCTTCATCTCCACGCAGATGGCTTCCTCCTCCCAGTAACCATGGCAACTGCCTCCCAGCGGCTGAGCCCTGGGACAGCACTGCCTGCTTAGGGGGCCGTACAAAGGCTGCGGCCCGCATGGCTTGCAGGGACCTCTGAACCTGTCGCCCTTCTGCTGCTCCAGGAACCTGGGCCTTGGTCCCACCTTGCTCGTCAGCCATCCATCCCACAGGAGGGCCCGGAGGCACCCCAACCCGACAGCTGCTTCAGCTGAACCTGAGGGGGCTACTGGGAGCTGAGCTCATTTCCTGGCACGAGGTGGAGCTGCCGTCACTGCCTCTGTGATGCCATCGCGCTACGTGTAACACAAGGGGACTGCCACCCCCCACACCCTGTCCCCTTCTCAGGACACAAACCCAGGCAGCTGCGACCGCTGAGCTCCGAGGCTCCAGGTCATCGTGGCCACATCCTGTCACCCGTGCAACCTACCAGGCCACTCCACGCCACCCCGGCCCCATCTGTAGCCACTGCTGTCACAGGCTCACAGAGGTATTTTGCCCGAGTGGCGACTGTGCAGCAGCTCAAGCTGACAGAGCAGGAAGCAGGATTCTCCCAGCCTCCCTCAAGCCCTCTCCTAGGCCCCAGGACCTGCAAGTTGCCCAGACGTTCATTCTCGCCTGAACATCAGGTCTACAAGTGCTAGCCTAGTGTGTGACCTGGGAGGGGAAGCCCATGTCATGGGCCAGAAGTTGTCCTTGCTCCTGCAGAAGCCAAGACCACATCCTGGGGCAGCAAAGCATGACCAGCTGAGAGCTAAGCGGTGACAGCCATGCACAGGAGCGATGCTCAGAGCTGTGAGCTGGCTGGGCTAGTGCCTGGGCCACAGGCTCAAGGCTGAGGTCCTGAACGGCTCCAGGAGGGACACAGCAGGTGCATGGGGGCCGGAAGACGCATGGACTCACTTCCATGGGCCTGCTGCCAAGAGCAGGGAGGGTCTTCCCTGGATGGCTGAGGGGGCCTGGGAGAACCAGAACCTCCTGCAGCTTGTAGCCAGCTAAGGGAGAGCCTGTATGTTTATTTAACTTTTAGTAAAGCCAAAGAGAAATGGACTGGAAACGTCTGGCTTGACCACAAGTTGCTCAGACGGGAATGGGCAGCTCAGGGGATCCTGCGCACCTGCAGGCTTCCCTTGTTACTGAGGCAAGGGTGGAGGGAGGTGTAATGGGGGTGGGGAGACAAGGAGTTTTCTCTCTGCCTCTGCTCGTTCCAGCAGAGCCCCTTTTGCTTTATGGGCCCCAGTTTCCCCCGCCTCACGTAGCTGCTGCTGGACAGGGAGACAATATCGAGGCTCGGTCCCTCACAATGTATTTCCCATGCAGCTGGCCGAGTGCAGCTGCCCACATGTGTAAACTTACAAAACACAAAGTTAGACCAATGGGCACAACTTCCTGCTTTCCCAGCCTGGTTCTGTGGTGGCTACGGGGATCCCTTCTCTCCCAGCCTGCGTGGGCTGGGGAAGAGAGGCTCAATTTCCTTGCCCACCTCGGAGACCACTGGGAGATACTGGCCATTTGCCACCAGCCCTGAGCCTTGGAACCGTGGAATGTTCTGGTACTGGGTCTGCCTTGGCCCTTGGAGGGAGGTAAGGCTAGGCTGTCTCACCCTGAAGCCACTCTTCTGCCCCAACCCCTGGGTGGGCTCCAGTCATGATCAAGGTCTCGTGGGCCAGTCCAGCCTTGCCAGCCAAGTCCCTGACCTTGGAGAGGCGGGCATGAAAATGTCCCACCTCCAGGGTGCCTGTCCTCAGTGCTGTGGGGCCCTGTGCCCGGAGACTGGGTCAGTGTGCTGGCGCGGCCTCTGGGCTTGCTGTTGGTGATGGGGGAGCAGTCTCATGGGCCTTCCTCACCTTTTTCTTCCTTTTCTTCTTCTTGGTCCCCAAGGCTGCATGGGCCCCGTTGGCCTTGCCCAGCCCTTCTTCCTGCTTCTGGACCGTGGCCCCGGTGGTAGCAGTGGTCACAGCTGAGTCAACATCAGCCACCTTCTGGGCTTTCCTTTTCAACTTTTTCTTCTTCTTTTTCTTCCTGGTCTCCTCCTCCTGCTGGACGGGGCTGTGGATGGCTGACTCCTGCAGGATGTCAGAGGCGGACACGGCGGCCTCCTGGCACCGTTGCCATTCTTCGTCACTGTCCTCGCTGCTGCTACAAGGGAAGAGTGGCCAGGGTTAGCTAGAGGCAGGCGCCCATGGCTGCTCCTGGTTTGTTCCAGGCAGCTGGTGGGGGGCGGGGCTGTGGAGGTAGGCAGAGAGCAGAGGCTGGCTTCATCAGGGACCCACATCCTCTGACCCTCAGGATGGCACCTGTAAAGTGGGCACCTTGCCGGGGCAGGGTTCATGACAATCCTGGGGGGACAGGCACGGCAAGGTGGTGTCCAGCCCAGCATGGAGGGCCATGGAGTACTAAGGGCACAGGGCCAGCAGCAGCATTCTGCCCCCCACGCACTGTCACCTTCCTCCAGCACCCCCAGCTTCTCCTAGCCCGGCCAGTGAGGAAGGCTGCGCGTGCACGCACGCTTTCACCTGGAGCTTGGGGGCTGTCGTTTCCTGCGGGGTTGGAGTTCAGCTGCCTTTCCAGAGTCTCCGGGGATGGACGTGAAGAAGAGACGGAAGCCTAGGAGTTAAGGGGACAGAGTCAGGCCTGTCACATGTCAGGTGCCCTGCTCCCCCGGAGGGTTCTGCCACCCTCCATCCTGTACCCTCACAGGCTGAGGCCTGGCTGGGAGGGAGCCTTCAGGCTCCTGGAAGCCAGCAGAGGGTTCTCCCACCCCAAGTTCGCAAGGGCCCTGGGAGGGCGATGCTCAGATATTTGGGCGGCTGAGGGAGTAGGGATGGTAAGCCTCAGGCCTGCAGCTGTGTGCCCCATCTCTCCCCTGCCTGGGCAGAGCTGACAAGGAAGGGAACTGCATCAGGATCTAAGGAATGACAAACTGATTTTTATTGGTTTGAAAACTTTTATTTATCAGAGAGGCGGAGAGACAGACATCCACAGAGAGAAGTTCTACCATCTGGTTCACCCCCCAAATGCCCACACTGGCCCAGCCCGATGCTGGGAGCAGGCAGCTCCCTCCAGGTCTCTGGCATGGCTGGCAGGGGTCCAGCAATGTGAACCACCCCTCCGCTGTCCCCCAGGGCGTGCACTACGGGAAGGTCGGTGCCCGGGGAAAAAGCTGGCTCTGAAGCTATGGTCTGGGACACGAATACCACCCGCCCTGCCATGGCCGCTGGGACACAGACGTGAGCACTCACCGTCGTCCTCCGGGGCCTCTCTCTGCACTGTGGTCTTTCTCGGCTCCCTCACGACCTCGGCGATGCTAATGGAGCTAGGAGGAGAGGAGAGGCTGGCGTATAGCACAGCGGGAGGCCGGGCAGTCCAGGACCGTGCCCTGACCTCACACAGTGGTTCAAAGCTGGCCAGAAGGTGCACCTGGCAACTTCCAGAAACGTTCCTGGTCCTTGTAAGCAGTGGTGTGAGTGCCGCTAACACCTGCAGGGGCCAGGGGTGCTGGCAGCCCTGAGATGTGAGACCAACACCTCCCCAGCCAGCACCAAGAACCAGCAGGTGGAAACCGCCAACGGCAGCAACAAGGGGAAGCCCTGATCCAACAGGAAGGCCAACCAGGCACCACGTCCATCTCTGGTGCCAGGGAGGACCAGCTCATGGTACGGAGGCCGTGGTCACTCTGAAGTCAGCCTGCCTCGGCTGCACACTGCTGCCCTCCCCGAATGCCTGAAGTGTCCCAGGCAAGGCCACGGGGACTCTGAACAGCACTTGTCCTTCAGTGCAGCCAGTCTCAGAGCCTCATCTCCTCCCGCAAGGCTGTTCGGCCTTTGCCAGTCTGGAATGTGGAGCTGCGCTCACTGTGGTTTTTATGCAGTGTCTCCCAGAGTGGTCAGGAGGCAGGGGTCTCTGTGCTGGACGCTTGGTGCTCAGGGCGGTGATGCTGGGAGGAGCTGGTGGCACCTGTAAGGGGCAGGGCCTCATACAAGGGGCCCACACAGGAACCCAGAGAGCTACACACAGTGGGTATACAGTGGGGTATGCTGGCTCCCCTCTCACCCTGCGAGCCCTCTTGCGTGGGCCCCTGCTGCGATGCCACATGTCACACTGTGACGGAGCTAAAGAACTCCCCGTCTCTTACACCGGCCCAGCCTCAGATGTTCTGCTGGAGCGACACAAAGTGGCTTAGTGCAAGCTCCAGTCTTCAGGGAGACAAACACTGGGCCCATCAAGAGGCCTTGGAGCCTCGAGCACATGGTCACGGACCTTGGCCTCCAAGGGCACATGGGTGTGCAGACTGCAATGCCATCTAAACCCCTCTGCTGGGGGGAGCTCCTTGTCCCAGAGCCACACGCTAGCTGTGCTGAGGTCTCGACTGTGGTCCCTACAACGCACACACAAAACCGTCATCTCCTGTGGAGATGCTATTAGGAAGGGGCATCATGTTCTGGGGGCAGAGCGCCCATGAGGGGGACCCACGCTCTTAGAAGCAGCTTCAGAGCTCGGAGAGGGTGGGCTCCCCACCTCCACCATGTGCTGGGGGGCGGTGCCTGCTGCTGGCAGGATGCCCCATTCTGTTCCAGTGACCCAGACCTTGTCTTGGCACCCTCATTGGCAATATTGATCCAAATGAATTCTTACCCATGCTGGGGAACTTGACATAAGAGAGCTGGCCCAGGACCGGCACCTGTAGGGCTCTGGAGATACACCAGCTCTGTCCTTCCTGGAGCTTGTGTAGTGGGTGGGAGTGTCTGCCGCCCAGGGGCCCTCCATCACCCTCCGGCTGGCAGGATGAGCCCGGGGCTGAGGGCACAGACAGGGAAGAGAGCAGGTGGCTCCTCCCTCCCCGTGACTGCGCAGGGCCGCCTGCTGGCTGGGATGTACACAAGGTGCCCGCAGGAATACATGGGCACTGGCAGCGCTCCACCCACACAGCCGGTAGACACCCAGGCGGGTGAGTGTGCGGATGAATTCCGCAGCCGCCTGCTGGGTTTCAGGCTGTGGGAACATTCCCACACCGCAGAGCTCCCCCGAAGGGAACCGGTGGCATAGGCTGAAGTGGCAAATAACAGGGTGCGTGCATGTTTGAATGAAAACACAGAATCTGGCTAGTGGTCCTGATGGCTGCAATGGTACCGGCCCCACCCCGTTGCCCAGGTCCCTCTGGCTGTGTTGCAGCCTGGCGGAGAGGTATGGAGCGTACAGGAGAAGCCTGGGCCTCTGGGGCTCGTCCCGTGGGCATCCAGGAAGAGAAAAAGCGCATGCGTCCACTCACCTGTCCAGCAAGGCTCCCAGCTTCTTGGCCACGTGGGCTCGGAACTCGGGGGTGGTCTGCAGCTCGTTGCCATCTTGCTCATGCTCGTCTACCCGGTGCCTGCAGCACACGCATGGGCTGGCCTGATTTCCTGCTGCCCGGGAAGCCGTCTCCGCACACGGGAGCTGGGTGTGCCTTATCAGCTCTCATAGCCCCGCGCTCCCATGTAGCACTGATGGATGCACACACGTGCGTGCCCACACACACACACACACACACACACACACACACTTACAGACCGACAGTAACAGTACCTGAGGCTTGGCTGGGAGGCGGGTGGCTGGCTCTTTGCAGCACCTGTGGAAAAAAATCAAGCCGGGAATGGAGGGGCACAGTGTTGGAGGCGTTGCAGTGGCTGCAGCATAACGGGCACACGGCAGGCCAATTCACACAAGCCCGGGTGAGGCATGGCTGCGCGGCCCAGCGCTGGGCTTTTACTGCCCTCTGCCTTGAGGTGCAGGTGGACCAGCAGGCTGCCACTGGAAGCGAGTGTCTGGGTATTTTCTCTGTATGGTGGCCTGCCTCTGGGTCTGTTTTGTCTTTGTACCCCAGCTCCTAGCACAGGGTTGACTTGAAATCAATGTTATAACAGTGAAATCCAGCTACACCAGGGCACTCAGTAAGTGCATGGGGAAATGAAATGGAAATTTAAAGGTTATTTTGGTACCAAAAATGTTTGAAGTCCATGCATGGACAAGAGCAAAGGGGTACTGAAACCGTGAGGAGAAAACCATTGTGGTGGTGTCAGAGGTGAGGGTGGGAGTGGGTAGGGCGAGGGACACATCTTGGGGAGCTGTGAGTTCTTTATACAAACAACCCTGCTTTGCCACCGCCTCCTCTGGGGCCTGCCTCGGAAAGACTGTTTTTTAAAAGATTTACTTTTATTGGAGGGACAGATCAGATTTATAGAGTGAACAGTGACAAACACAAAAATCTTTCATTTGCTAGCTGACTCCCCAAATGGCTGCAACAGCTGGAGCTGAGCTGGTCTGAGGCCAGGAGCCTCTTCCGGGTTTCCCACTCGGGTGCAGGGTCCCAAGGCCTTGGTCTGTCCTCTGCTGCTTTCCCGGGCCACAAGCAGGGAGCTGGATGGGAAGTGGAGCAGCTGGGACATGAACCAGCACCCATGTGGTATCCCAGGATTTGAATGGGGAGGATCAGCCAACTGAGCCCTTGCATCGGGCCCCTGAATGAGGTTTTAAATGGCACATACTGTTTCTCAAAGAAAACCAGTGTCAGTGAAACTTGGTGATCATGAAAATAAACGACTTGAGTAACACACAGCTCCACGCCTCCCACCTGGGGGAGGGATTTAAGTTCAGATCCTAAGACCTGAAACCCACCGCCAGGTCCCCCATAGTAACATGTCCCCTTGCTATCCCGTACCCGGGGCTCACTGACCACCTCCTCAAGCCCATCCTCCAGCACCTCTGGAGTCAGACTGTAGCTGCTGGGACCCAAGGTGGGACAGTGCAGGACCCTCCATACGCTGGAGCTCACGCCAGGCCCACGATGCTGAGCCCAGTACAGTTACTGGCCACTGCTTGTGAGGCCAGGACAGCCAAAGCCTCAAGATCTCAGCCGCTAATGGACAAATCGTGGATACGGGCGCCCTCTGGTGCTCAAACAGCGACAACACACCAACACAGCAGGCTTGCAACAGACCTAGGCTTAGGTCGCCGCCTGGTGGTGAAATGGTGGAAGTGTCCACAGCTCAGAGAAAAGTGGAGCGCACAGCAGATGATGTAATGCTAACAGGGAACTATGGCCTCACGTAATGAACCAAGTAAGACGGGGGGCTGGCACCGAAGCGCAGTGGGTTAAGCCTCCAAATGCAACACGGATATCTCACATGAGCACAGGTTCGGGTCTTGGCTGCTCCGATTTGTAGCTCTTGGGAAAGCAGCAGAAGCTGGCCCCTGCATCTATTGGGGAACACCTAGATGGATTTCCAGGCTCCGGGCCCAGCTCTGGCTATTGTGGTCATGTGGGGAGTGAAATGTCTCTCCCATTCTCTTGTAACTCTGCCTGTAAAATATCTTAAAGATGCGACTCAAAATCACAATGCCATCTCATCACATTCCACTGCATAGCTATCAACAGGCTGACAGTTACAAAAGGGCTGGCAAGGAGGCAGAGAACACGGAACGCTCACACTGTTGTGGGGTCGGTCAGTGGTGCAGCACCCTAATCCTCCACCTGCAGTGCCAGCATTCCATATAAATGCGGGTTTGTGTCTCGGCTGCTCCACTTCTGACCCAGGTCCCTGCTTGTGGCCTGAGAAAGCAATAGAGGAATGGGCAAAAGCCTTGGGTCCCTGTATCCACGTGGGAGACCAGAAAGAAGCTCCCAGCCCAGCCCAGCTCTGGCCACCGTATTTGCCGAGTAAACCATGGGAGGGAAGATCTCTCTGCCCCTCCTTCTCTAATTCTGCCTTTCAAACAAAAACTTATTTTAAAAAATTTGATTTTTTTTCCTTCCCAAATTTTAGGCTTGGGTGTGTTCTACTACGAACGGGGGCATCTTGGCACAGTGGGGAGAGCAGGCTAGAGATGCGAATGCGAAGGCCGCGAGGAGGAACTGGTCACAGAACGCAAAGAGGGGATGGTCGCAGTGTCAGTCCAGTCAGGAGCGCTTCACCTGGCCCGGGGGGAGCCGCACAAACCCAAAGACCCCCGGGTGCCAGTGGTCTCGACTGGCATAACAGGTCAGCCGCCTGCACCTTCAGTCAAGACCCCTGCCTCCCTGGACCCTTCCCTCGGCACCCCTGCCTCCTGGCAACCCCTTCCTCACCCCCGTATCTCGGACCCACACGCGTCCGTCGCCCAGCCTCCCCCAGCACAGTCTCCTACCGCCTCCTGTCGTCCCGGCCCCGGGCAGGCGCTGCTCCAGGCCCCAGGCCGGCCTCGCGGCCTCGCGGCACCGCGCCAGCTCCTCAGCATCGCTGCTGCTGCTGTCCGAATCGCTCATGGAGCCACTGGGCGCCGCCATCTTGAGAACCCGCGAAGGATTGTGGGAAAGCAACAGTATGCGCACTCTCCAGGGCAGTTCGGGGAGCGCATAGCATTGTGGGGATTGTAGTTTTCAGTCTCTCCTCGACTTCCTGGTGATGTTGAGTTGGGGCTTAGGGAGCGGTTGATAATTAGCTCATAGGGAATCCCAGGGGTAATTAGGTCACAGCTGAACCCTCATGAATGGCGGCAACGCTCTTCTGCACGAGAGAGCTTCGCCCTTTGCACCGTGTAAGACCCAGCACCTGGGGAATCAGGGCTAGGTTTTTCACGACTTGTTAGACCTGGCAGAACCTCCTTCCTGCTCTTCCCACTGTCCAGCATGCTTGTTTATGAGTCATCCAGTTTGCGGATCTGTGTTCTGGAAGCCTGAATGGAATGTGGAAGTAGCCTATTCTTCTGGAAAGAAGGCGTTTCCCATCACCTACGATGTGGGCTGGCATTGTAACGGTCATGAAGATGAGGGCTCCAAGAGTCTGACTGTCCCAAAGGCAACAACAACAACAACAACAACAACAAACAACAACAACAACAACAACAAACCTGGGGATTGCAAAGATTCTTGTTGCCAAAGTGCCTGGAGCTGTGGAGAACCAGTTATGAAGTGTGCTGTGTGAGATATGCTAAGCGAGTGAAAGTCGTGTAGCACTTATACCTATGCTTGGAATGCTGGTTCAGGTCCCGGCTGCTCCACTTCCTATCCAGCTCCCTGCTAATGCACCTGGGAAAGTAGCAGAAGATGGCCCAAGTGCTTGCACCCCTAGAACCATGGATGGAAGTCCAGACTTCGAGCTTCATCCAGGCCCAGCTCGTGTGGCCATTTGGGGAGTGAACTGGTAGATGCAAGACCTCTCCCTCCCCTCCCATCTCTGACACTCTATCTTGCATAGAAATAGACATAAAATGTTTTAAAAAGAAAAAGGCAGCGCAAGGTTAAAGGAAACTTTTTATTGTTTGACGGGAATAAATTCGATCACATTGTTGTTCTCCCACTGTCTGTGGGGTATTAGGTGATGCAATGTGAGGGTTTCAGGCATAGAGGGAATTGTATTATTGTTATAGCTTATTTTCAGTCTTTAAGACTTTGTCTCTTTTTGTCTCAGTTTCCCTCCAGGGCTGAGAACCTCAAACAATCAAGCAACAACCACAAGGTGTTCTTTTGCTGGCAGCAGAAGCCAAGCAAAGAGCATCTCTGTGAGAGCCGAGGCTTTGGGGGTCCCAGCCCGCAAGAGCAAAGGGATCCAGCACCACCCCTTGCCTATGGCCAAGACTGTCAGGCAGGCAGGCAGGCAGGCAGGCAGCGACATGGGAAAAGCCTGGTAGTGGCAAGAAGTGGAGGCTTCCATGAGTGCCCACGAAGAAGGTGGTTGGTGTGGGATGGCTGTGGGCCCTGGCTCCCTGGCAGCAGGGCACCCCACATGGCTGGTCTGGGAAGCTGATCGGGCTTCCTCTGGTTGGCCCTCGAATCGGAAGTAGATGGGAAGTAGATGGGAAGTAGAGGAGCTGGCAGCTCTTGACTGAGTCCCCTAGTTTTTAGTTTTAGCTGCTGCGGAGGTTGAGCCTTGAACTTCACCGGGCTGGCTGCCATAGTGATTTGTGTGGACGAGAATCCCATGAGCACACAGGAGTCTGGCCACAGCCCGTTGGCGTATTCTGCGACTCCCAGCTCTCTGCTTTGCCTTGGCAGCCTTGGGTAACCGTTGATGAAGGTGATGAAGGCAGCCCCCAGGGCTGTCCCCAGCCGAGAAGTGGAAGGCGTAGTGGATGGGCAGAAACGCATACAGCCTACCCTCGGAGAAACTAGCTGTGGAGGTAGCGGACATGTGCTGATGGCTTCTGGGAGAGGGTGATCGTGTCGCTGTCCTGGATGTTGTAGTAGCCCATGTCCACCCAGTCCTGCAGGACCTGGCCCTCGTACTCCAGCTGCTGCTGCTTGCTCAGAAAACCCTGCCGGTCTTCAATCTGCTGCTTGAGGTTCAGCACGAAGCTTTTGGGGTGTACCGCGTAGGCCTGGCTGCTCCCGTTGGGGCTTTTCACGAAGACCTGGATTTCGGGGGAGACAGTCTCCAGCAGGCAGATGCGGGTGCTACAGAAGACGCCGTAGTCGGCCAGGGAGCAGTGGCTGCTGAGCACTTGGCGCTTGCAACCGCTCTCCTGGAAGGAGAGGCGCGGCAGGCCCACGAGGCCCTTGCTGCGGCGGATCCGCTCCTTCAGCTTCCTGATGGGCTCGTAGGGGTTCACCCAGAGGATCAGGTCTGTGTAACCCCACTGCTCCACCGTCACCTGCATGTCCTGGGCGTACTGCGAGGGGGCAAGGGAGGGGAAGGATTATGGCCTCTGTGCAGTGCCTGTGCTGGCCACTTTCCCTACCCTGACTGCGGTCTATTCCTGTTAACATATTTTCTATGTGTGGATGTGTTGAAATTGGGGGAGAGAGAGAGAGCATAAGCTAAAGGGCCAAGGCCCGGGCCAGGCTGAAGTCAGGAGTTGGAAAGGTCATCTGGGTGTCCTACACGGATGGCAGGGACCCAAGGACTTGAGTCATCGCCAGCAGCTGCTTCTCAGAGTGTGCGTGAGCAGAACAGAGCCAGGGCAAGAACCGGATGCGTTGATACTGGGTGTGGGCATCCTCAGCAGGGGCCATATTGGCTTAGTGCATCCAGGGACCAGT